TTTTTTGTAGTGCTAGAGATTTAACCCAGGGCTTTCACTGTAAACTACCACCTTAGCTCTATATTTTTTGAGATAGGCTCTAAGTAGCCCAGGTTGGGCTCAAACTTGCAAGTCTTCCTGCCTCGGCCTTTTGAACGTTGGGATTACAGGTGCACACCACCACGCCTGGCTAAGAACTGAATGAAAAAAAGAATTTATATATATAATCACCACTGAATTCTCTGTAAGGTCAGATCTCCGCAGTCAGAGCTGTAGGGGTTAAAAAGAACTACTGATTTCCTCCCTGCCTGGCAGATGAATCCAGGGCCTCATGCATGATGGTTTAGAACTCTTTAGTCTGATTTTTTTTTTTTTAAACAAAAAGGTCAGTGCTAAGGGCTCCACAAGTACTTCATGAAAGCTAGTTCTGAGTGGGGGACCCTACTGTGGGAGCCACTCAACAGTCTGAGCAAAGAACCCTACAGAATTAAAGTCAGCTTGTCCAGCCCAAGAGGGGGAAGGAGCAGGAACGCAGCTCGGGCACTGAGCTGGCCACTGCCTCCGAGTGGCTCTGCCTCAGGGCAAGATGTAGAGCAGAGGGCGCCAACACTGGACGGCAGTGCCCTCACAGTCCTGCTCAAATCTCTTTCCTGTGCCTTCTCAAGCAGCATTCTAAGAATGTGCGTTTCAGGAGGGGGAAACAAAAGAAAGGCCAAAATTTCTGCCAAGCTTGTGAAGACAAGTATGCGCACTGGGGACCAAACGTCAAAGAGGCTGATGAAGGGGAGAAAAGTGCAGCAAAGGCTCTCATCTCGGTACTTGCAAAATAGTGCTGTTTGCTCTTAAGACTCCAGTCTGGACATTTGTACACTTTCTTAAAAGCAAAGGAGGACTGGGGATTTAGCTCAGTGGTTCTGCCGCCTGCCTCACAGCTAGCGCAAGGTCCCGAGTTCAATCCCCGGTACCAAAAAATGAAAATAAAATAAAGCAAAGGAGAATTTTTTCTGATTTTTAAATATTAAGAGTTTTATAAACATAAATGATTTACAAGTATCACTTGAAAAGAAACTGGCATTTTGGATTCATCTTTGCTTTTCTTTACAGTTTTTTTTGAAATACAGTCCTTCAAATTACCTTGAACCAGATGGCCTTTACAAATTTAACACCACATAGCTGTGGCAAGGAAAGTAATGCCTCTTGGCAAACTAGATTTTTTGTTAACATGTTCTGTACACATACAGGTCAGGTCACTGGCAGCTATCCTTTGAAGCTCTAAGAAAACATAGGGCTTCAATCACAAAGACTGTACGCATAAGAAATGACTTGCGTAACAGTCAGTATAATTATGAATAAATAGAAATTATAAATAGAAGGAAAAAACCATTTAAAAGAAAATAACTCAGGATACTGTGAATAATGTCAAAAATCAAAGTTGCTTATATGTAAGATAAAACTAAATTTATTTTTCAAAAATGTCATTAAAAACAAATATACTAATATACAGTCAAGTTCACCTATTCACAATAAAATCATAAGATAAAAAACAATCCTCATAAAGTGATATTTAAAATGTTAGCTCTACCAAGACCCTCAATTAAACACTGTGTATGGCATCTCACCTTGTACAAAAACTCATGAATCCTGTGGTTCTAAGGGGAAAAAAAACCATAATCATTTGTCTTATGTAACTTATAAGGCAAGTGGAATACTACAAGAAAAAACACCCTTCACAGTACATTTTAAAGGGTTGAATTTCAGTAATAGTCGGCAGGAAAGAAATAGGCTCTGTTAGAGCACTGGCAGGGACACAGAAACAGAAGGGTGTGACTGCCCAGCACAGCCCCACCTCATCTATTTTTAGAGATTTAAGACTTCAGACTTAGTTTTGATAATAATGCCTGTGACCACAGCTCAGCATGTCTGGGAGACAAACCAGCTCTTTTCATGCTGAGTAACCTAGTTCGCTGTTTTCCCTTTTTTAAATTAATTCTGAGATGTTGCTCATGAAACATAAGCAATGAGGCATCTTTTGAGAATCTTTTGTTTTTTAGTTACCTTGGAATATACAAAACGTAAGAGAGGTGATAAACTAAAAAAAGATCAGTTTTTAAAAATGTTTTTCACCGAAAAAGGAAAAATGTAGCTTATTTAGAATCAGAGAATATTACTTTAATTGGGAACAGAATATACTATTGAGGAAAAACCATGTTTGCACGTGTACATGTGGCCTTAAAAGACTTCTCTTTTAGGAAGTAATTTCTTGTGTCGTCCCTCCCTCATGATACCTTAGAGAGCACAGGAAGGGCTCAAATCCTGTAGTTATTTAATGGGGGTTTCAGGAGTTTTTATGTATGTAATAACATGCACACCACACAATACCTATGTACATGTTAACACATATTATGTACATATATATATATATATATATATATATATATACACACACACACAACAGACTCAAATACATGGTCTAGGAAAATAGGTTGTGCAGTCCGAGACTTGCTTTATCAAAATTACCAGTTTTTTCCAATTCAACCTTTTTATTCTACTTTCATAACTCAAAATTATAGCAAATGATATTCTAAAGATTTCATTTTAATTTATCAAATAAAATATTGGGCAAACCAAATTATATCAAGAAACAAAAATGAACCCAGGGGCAAAGTACCATCTTTCAGCCTTCAAAAACAAAAAACCAAAAAAGTATCATGCACTATAAAAACTTAACAGGCATTTCTTTTTTATGTTCATAGAAAAGGGGGTAAATCCTGAGTAGGAGAGATCTAAAATGGTTTTCATGTATATACTTGGGATGGAAGTCTAGAGCAAAGACTCAAGAATGACAAATAAGGTTTCCTCCCTCTTCCTGACTCTAAAAACATATGGCATTAACAAATCATAGAAGCCAACAGGTGTTAAAGATTATTCTTTGTTTTAGACCTCTGAAAAAAGATGACAAGACATGGCTTAAGTTTCTCTTTCACTCGGCTGTGGGATTCCTGATGCCAGCCACTGGGCTCCTTCCTGCACTGGGCACAGTATTTGTGATGAAGGCTTGTGCATTTTACACCAACCAGCTCCTGGAGTTGCAGTAGGAGATAACCTTTTATCAACAATAATGCTTCATTTCTTTTTAGGGAGGGGAAACCAGGTATATTTCAGCCACTGTGCCAGCCAGCATGCCTCCCACAGTTTCCCAAGACAGTCCTCATCACGAGTTTTCCTTCAGCAGCCCGAGCTTGCGGAGGGCCTCCCGCCGGGCTTCCTCTGTGGAGCCTCGGCCAGAGAACTGCACAGTGATGCCCTGGGGTCTGAAGCCCACTGCTCTGGGGAGGGAGCCCCGCCGTCTCCTGGTGTCCTGGCTACAGTCTGGCTGCTGGGGCTCATAGGCGCTCCTGCTGGCATTCTGGCGGGCCAGTCTGCTGGCATGAGTAGGGTCTGGGCGGAAGGTGATAGTCTTTCCAGTGGACACAAAGGGGCTGGGCTCACTCCTTAGGGCCTCGTGGATGCTCTGGAAGCCATTGGCCAGTGTGGGGGGCTGTTCTGTCTGCACGCCTCTGGACTGCTGACCACTGGACTGCCCTGCTGCTCGGGGGCCTGTGGCTTCCGTGGCCAGACCTGGGGTGTCCTGGGCATGTGCTGTCTCATCTGGAGAGACATTCCTCTGCTCTGGATGGTCACTCTTCTGTGAACGGTCTTCTGTGTCTCCTGGGTTAAGGAAGGAGACACCATTGATGTTGGCCAGGACTTGGGCTTTCCGTTCCTGCACATTGACGGCTGCCTTTGAGATGGTCTTACTGAATTCCTTTCCTGAGCTGTTGGTCATGCTGATGTTGCTGGGGAAGCGATGAATCTTGGGTGGTGGCTGTGCCGTGTGTCTCTGCCACAGGAAGTGGTCCACATTCTGAGGGGCTAGAGAAGCCAGTGTCCTCCATTCTCCAGGCCTGCCTTCTTTGGAGGGAGATGTGGGAGAAAGGGCTTCATTTCCTGCCAACTTCTCTGAAATTTTCTGAGCAATCACAAGAGGAGTGGGGACAGAGCGTGGGAGCTTTGGGTGCTCTGCTGGAGGAGGAGGAGGGAGCAGCTCCTTCCTGGGATGGGCTGGGGTATCAGATGCCTCTGGAACTGTGGAACCTGACTGTGGGGACTTCTCAGCATTCTGCTTCCTGCCTTCAAGGACAGGCTCCTCTTCTTTTCCAATAGGTCCAGCCCCTAAAGAGAGGGAGAGATCGCCTAAGTTTCCATCTTATATAAAATCAAATGTGTTACATTCCTGTTCGTGGAATTTAAGGGTTCCAAGAGACATACTACCAACTGTAAGCAAACTGTAAGGCCCATCCCTGCTCCCTGGACGAGTGAGGAAAGGCGGTCTGTTACTCTCAGGATCACACCCTGAGAACAAAGAGGTCCGTGACTGAAAACTATGAGTCAGAATAAAAATGGCCAGCATGTGGGATGCAGCCCTTCAAGGTGTGCTTCTGAGACTCCGTCGTCTTAAGGCGTGACAGGAGGCAAACAGTTACTTCCTTACCGGGGACCGTACGGGAGACACTGATAAAGGACAGTTGTGCGGCACACACCAACACTCCCAGCAGCTGTTCTGAGGAAGGACAGGGTGCATCCTGACAACCCACGTGGCATACACCATCATGCCGTGGAGCCTCCACTGTCCTCACCCACGCAGCACAGGTTCCTGACACTTCTCTGTACCCACCTCCTGCTGCCAAGATGTAAGTACACCATGTCTTTTTACCTTTGTATCTTGCAATTCTCATGCAATACCCACCACAGAGTAGGTTGCTTTGAAAATGGCATAAGAGAGAACTGGCAGGCACCGTGAAAAAGTGTTTTTCCTTGGCACATTTTTTTTTGAAAAGTGTTCTCCTTGGCACAATTTTTTGAAAAATGTTCTCCTTGGCACAATTATATGATCTGATATTTTAAAGGAGAGCTGGTTCAAACTACTTTTAAGAAAGATATTTCAAAGTAAAAGTGAAATAAAAAGCCAAATTCATACTGCCTCTTCTCTGACTACAAACCAAACTCTATAGTATATGGAACCTATAACTACTGGATGTGAAATTCTGAAAAATACATAGTATTGCTTTAAACACACATACTTCTGGAGGTTTATGACAAAAGACAGTATTTTGCAGTTACCAGGGCAGAAGTATTTCCCTCGAGGCAGGCATGGTGGTATACACCCATAAACCTATCACTCTGGGAGGCTAAGGCAGGAGAACTGCATGTGTGAGCCTAGCTTGGGTAACTTAGCAAGTTGATGAGACCACCCTCTCAAAATAAAAAATGAAAAAAGGAATGTAGTTCAGTGCAAAGGTCCTGGGTTCATTCCCTAGTACAGTGGCACCTTGGTTCATGAACTTATTTCCATGATTCTGGTTACAAAGCAAATCAGTTGCAAACCACATTTAATTCAATGGTTAGTTCAATGTTGACCTTAGGGGGAAATTTCATTTGGCTTATGACCAATTCAGTCTGCAATAAGAATTATTAAAAGAATCAAGTTTGTGAACCAATACTGCTGTATTGAAAAAAAAAAAAAAGTGTTATTTTTCCTTATCCTTTCTTTCCTATGCTCTTGCCCACTTTTTTTTTTTTTTTTTAAATATCCTTTCAGGAAAAAAACTGGAATTTCTCTGTCCACTTTCCCAGCATTTCTTCCACAGGATTCAGTGCACAGAAGCTTACCTATCCTTTGATGCCACTAAAAGCCAAGCAAAATGTACAAAGTAGATGCTGACCTGAATTTGTGTTCTGTCTTGTGAACCAGCTGACTTTTAGTTCAAGTGCCCCCATGCTGGAAAATAATATGACAGGACTGTGGTATAATATTGCACTGAAATAAAAAATGCCTTGTATGTTTTCTCTGAAGAACATAATTGTTACCTGGAAGTCATTTCTAGTTTTCTTCACACACACACACACACACACACACACACACACACACACACACACACACCTAATTCTT